GTTCTCCATAAATTTAGGTAATTTTGTTTTTTTGTCATATTTTTAATATTTATATATAATTTATTTATGAACAAAACAAATTTATATGAATATATCACATTTTTTAGAAAATAAGATAATGCTTGTGAATTATGTTGTTTTCTTGAAATATATTTTATATATAGAACTTAAATTTTAAATTAAGATATAAAAATTATTATATATATTATATAACTAAAACAAATTTATATTAATTATTTTATATTTTTCTAAAATAAGATAATTCTTATGTATTATGTTGTTATGTGGAAAATATATTTTCGTATTAAAAACTTAAAATTAAGATATAAAATTATATTATTAATAATTAAATATAAATCATCAAAAAATTAATTGAAAATTGAATTTGTTGATTTGTCTAGGTAATTTTGATCATTTATCAGAATTACTCTAATTTTGTTTATTATTAACTATATAATTAAAATTAATTTATATTAATAATATGTTATCTTGAAAGTATATTTTTCTATTATTAATTTTAAAATTAACATATAAAAAAATCTATACTACTATTTAAGAAGTGAGTTTAATGTTTGCTGATTTTTCATATTTTCATAATTTTAGGTAATTTTGATAATTTATCATAATTTATATAATTTTATATATGATTTATTATATATTTAAAACAAATTTATATTAATAGTATTAGATTTTTAGAAAATAAGATACTTCTTATGTATTATGTTGTTATCTTGAAAATCTATTTTTATTTTATATAATTTAAAAGTAAAATAGAAAATTATCTATTTCTATTCTATTAAAATAGAGTCATTCTTTTTATCTACTGATATAAGTTGTCATTTAAATTTGGACCTTTTCTAGAATGTTACAAATAATATAAGTCATATAATTGATTGAACCATATTTACTTAAATTAAACCAACACAATTAATGTAAAAAGACGACATTAATGTAAATTACTTTCAAAATACGGCAGATATCTATGTGTATACCGAAAACACATATTTTCTCCTACAAATATGGAATATTCTAAAAGAATATATATCATCAAAATATAGAATATGGAAATCTACTAATTATACTTAAATTAAGCCAGTGGTTACTTATGGAATATAGTATTGGGCTTAATTTTATTTTTTGAACAAATTATATAGTTTGGTTTTTGGGCTTAGTATTAAGAAAAAACTCCAAAAAACATTGAATAAACTTTTCACCTTAAAAGATCAAAAAATCAATTATTATTTTCAGACCCAAAAGGTATTTAATTTTTTTAACAAAACAAAATTATCTATTATTAATCATTTATTTAAATCATGTACTTTAAAACATGTTAATATATTTTTATTTTAAATAACAATCACTTTGTTTTGATAAATTTCAATTGTAACTTTTAAATAATTTATTGTTTTATTTTTCTTAAATAATTTACTGATTAAAAAAATGTAAAGCAAAACCAAAAACCAAATCTAAAAACTAAAATCCAAAATCAAAAGATGAAAACACATATTATATTTTTTTGCTTTGTTTATCTACAAAATAAATTATTTCAAATTTTTTTTTTTAAAATTGTTTTCATCTTTTCAGTTTTAAATTAGATGTTCGATTATTTGAGATTTGTTTGTTGGTAATATCAATTTAAATTAACTTAGCGGGTTTAAAAATTAAATACCCAAATCAAAAACTGAAAATCAAAAAGTAGAAACTTAAAAACCAAAAACCAAAAACTCAAAAACCAAAATCTAAAAATAAAAAGTAAAACTAAAAACTAATGAAAAACAATCATCATCACAAATTTTGGTAAACTGATTTTATATCAAAAGATTTTTTAAATTAAGACAAAACCCAATTATATAAATTTTTAATCATAAAAAATTTCCGCGCTTTTAAGCACGGGTCAAAATCTAGTTGTACGTTATAAAAGGAGGGGCAGTTGCCACCAGTATATTATGATAAACAGTTCTTAATGTTACTATATTTAAGAATAAACACTTTTCACACTGGTTGTTGCCCCCATCCCATCTAAGCCTCCGCTCCCTATGGAAAATCACATTTCTATTTCCTTATAATCCAAATCTGAGGAATTTAATTGCCTTTTATTCTCAAC